AGGGATAACCACTGCATGCTCTGTTTGGCAAACTGAGCTGCATTGGCTTGGAGCTGCCTAGCCTCCGCATCAAGACGCTTCTCATTGGTGTAGGCCAGGGACACTCTGAAAATATGCACAACAGAATCAAAAATAATGCATTCCAGTTTGGAAGTGTCTACTGATTGCCAGCGTTGCCCAACTACCGGTAAATGACCGTGACTAGATCCCACAAAATGAGTCTTAAGGCCATATCCGTACCTTTATTTTAGTTTGCTGCAGAAACGAACAAACAACTCCTTTGACATACCATTTAGTTTAAATGCACATTATGTGGGAGAAAACTGTTAAGAGTTCCTATGGGTTTATCTCTTACAAGATTCCTCACACAGGCTTTCAATTTAGAGTGGCTCTGGTGAGTGGTGACTTTTTTCAGGTTAGGTCACACATTCACAGCACAGCACAGCTCAAGTACCGGTACATGTACAAGACATACCGGTGGTCCACTAAGTTCATCGTCAACCTTTTGCCAGCATGTTTGTACGGTTAACGCATGGCACCTGTCTGCGTTCTGGAACGTGGTGCATCGGTCAAACCGCCCATGTTGCTTCTGTTTGCATTTCTCTTAGTGAAACAGCTGGAGATGCATGAGCCAATGGTGCCTTGGTATATTCTAAACTCTACCTTGTCTGAAAGACAACCCCCCCTCCCAAATTCACCTGTTGTTGACATTTCCGACTAATGCCTTCGTCACGTTTAATGCGGCCACCGTTGCTTCCTTCCGTCTTTTTTCTTCTCTCCGCATTTATTTATATTTGTAAAAGAAACAGAAACATCGACACTAATTGTTGTGCTTTGTAAAATGTGTCTAACGTCCACGACCGTATAGTCGCCAGGTCCCTTATTTTGCCACTTACTGTCGACTGTGCAAACCAAATAAGACTTGACAACAGTGGCAAAAACAGGGACCTGGTGACTAGCATGACTAGGATGTACCGTTATGTTTACACAAAACATAGGGCTACATATACATTGCACACGACATGCCATGATTATGTGAGATGAATTTCCCGTCCCAGTCAAACCAGTCCCTATTAAGGGACACACTAGCCCCACCCCTATTTCCTTCCATGCCTTTCATGTTCAACAAATTGAATTATCAATCGTCTTCGTTACATGTCTTAACTGTACACAGTCACTGAAGAGTGTACAGGTGTAGTAATATAAATGTGGCCTAACCTTGCTGATCTTTCCTTGTAGCCTGTTTGGCTTGGTGTTCCTTCAACATGGAAGCCAACATTTCAAAGACGAAATTCAGTAAATTCTACGAACACGAAAGAACGACTAATCCACCTCTCTCTCACTAGGTAGTCTCAGATGATCTTTCTATAACAGACAAGAGAGGGCGCACCGTAATCAAGTCAGAAACCCGGTCCTTAAATAAACCGTATGCAGTTTGTAAAGTTATGTCTGTATGGTTTAACCGCAAAACTGCATGCGGTCCGGCCGTAACTTGAAAACTAATGGTATGCAGTTACTTTAAAAAGCACAAAAACTCGGTAATGAGTGTACTTACCTCTTCATCAAAAACAAGTAACGTTTTGTTTTGCAACCGTATAATATTCATAAGAGTCTTCAGCATTTGCCTTCTTTTTATCATGCAATTTTAACTTGTGCAAAGAGGTTGTGACCTGACCTTGTCAGTGGAATTTGGATGAATAATAAACATTGTATGCATTATGCCATTTACTTCGTCGAAAATGTCTGACGCATCGCGCTGATTTTCTGGTGGCTTTTTTGTATTGTAGGTAGGATACTTCGGAACTTCTCTTCAAAATTTCACCAGGATGGGGACGATACGAGAACGTGGATACCTTTGCTCCGTTTCTATAGTCTTTGTAGCTCTTCAGATTGTTAGAATTGAGTGTTATAATTTGGAGACTCGGCTGCCGATCGTGAAGGAAGGGCCGTTTGGCAGCTCGTTCGGACTTTCCGTGGCTGAGCACACAGTGACCAGAAGACGGCCGTCGCCTACAGATGGTTACAACGGTAGTTTGTAAGTTCTTGCATCGACCTATTGCCTCTATTTCTAATAAAAATTGAATTTAGAGTTTTAAGTAGGGCCTACCATAACTGGATAATGAAACAGGTACTTATTTGTTTTGGTGAGACAAGTTCATCTCCACAAATGTCATATATTTTGTCATGGTAGGCCTACTGACAATCTGGACAATTAACATGACTGAACACATTTTTTTAAACGTATTTGCAGTTGTTCCGGCCTTGGCCTATTTATTTACTAAGGACCATTAATCATGTTTACAATTTGTCATGTATTGAAAAATCCACATCTGATATGTTGGAATAATTGCAGAATCCCCGAACACCCATGAAATTACATGTGTACCATCATGACAGGCTGAGCAGTTGTCCAAACCTGTGGCTACTGTCATAACTGTATGTTACATGTATGTACTAGCTAGCACAGCCAACAACGGACCCCCAAGTTCTGGGGTAACCAGTGGCAGTATAAAATGAACGACAGTCATATTTTTCAGACGTGTGGCACTTGCCTATAGTAATACTGTACGGTTGTGAAGGTTGAGCGTGACAGGTGAATTTAGGTTATAAATTGAAATGTAGTGCTGCAGTATCAGTGTACAAATATAGTCTGTTGTCTTTGTGCATTTTAGTGAAACATTGCCAGTATTTCTTATTTCATGTAGCAATGTTTCTCTGACTTACTGTACATTTCTACCTTGCCTTGAGCACTCCAAAACCCATTCAGCGTGTGTATCAGTGTGTCACTGAATGAAGACTAGAAATCAGTTTCCATTTTAATGTCAAAACTTGACATGTACCGGTACTTGTAAATTGGTTCCATCCACTTTTGAATGCAAAAGGATGACGACTCCTTACAAGTATAAAGTGATTTACTCTTTCCTGTAAGACAACGGGCTACATTTGCCTGCCTGTTCACATCGTAAGAAATGTTTATAGATGTTGAAACACATGTTGAAATTTATAGCCATCTGTAGGGGAATCCCCGCCAACATGACTGGCCCCCGTTACTGTGTTTTAGCGTCAAAAGCAAAAGCTGGTTTAAAGTTGTTTGAAATGTTTATTCTTCTGTTTTACTTTTACAATTTTGAGCATCTGTGTGGAATACGTAAGGTACATGTATGCGTGAAATGAAAGTAAAAAACTCATGGACGGCATCTGACATGTCTGAAGTAGCAGAAATGTCAGTTTGGATGTTCATATCTTACCAAACTACACCTGAATGTATGAAGTTTAATTCATTTGTGTGCAACCATATCACAGGGAAAATTACAATGGAAGACAATGGAATTACAATGTTGGTGCATTCAGTGTACAATGTACCATGTCTAAAGTAAAGGACACATTCCAGCTGCATGTACATGCATACTGTGCATATACTGTACATGACTAAACACATGTACACTGTACATATCTCTCACAAGTCCCTATAAGCTGATAAGTCCATCACAAGTCATTCTGTCTTAAGCCAATTCACCAGCTATTCAAGTAAGCTGTGACAGAAGCAATTCTTTTGTCATTGTTCACCCTGTTACTTATGACTGGCCTTGTGAAAGGACTTGAGACTGGCCTTGTGAAGGGACTAGTGACTGGACTTTTGAAGGGACTAGTGACTGGACTTGTGAAGGGACTAGTGACTGGACTTTTGAAGGGACTAGTGACTGGACTTGTGAAGGGACTAGTGACTGGACTTGTGAAGGGACTAGTGACTGGACTTTTGAAGGGACTAGTGACTGGACTTGTGAAGGGACTAGTGACTGGACTTGTGAAGGGACTTGTGACTGGACTTTTGAAGGGACTAGTGACTGGACTTGTGAAGGGACTAGTGACTGGACTCGACTCCAGTAATGTACACATCACGGTGCACTAAAACACATGATGGCATAAAAATTACACCCGATGCTGTGTATAAGACCAAAGCGAAAGGTTGTGTTTCCAGTTACCCAACTTGATCAGGAACATTTTACTGAAAAAAAAAGATTACTCAAAAAAGTAGAAAACCCAGATGCCGACCCAGTGTCTACATGTAGCTGTTGTGTGGACATTATCGTTAATTTTCTTGAATTCTTTTGGTTTTTAAGCTGTTTGGCCGAACAAGAAGTGTTGTGATCTTGTGACTTGTAGCCACACTTATCCACTTGCTAAATTTATTTCACTGCTGATCATCATGTGAAATATCGAGTGTACATCCTGACAGTCACTTAAAATGCACCCCCAGACTAACATGCCGAATACATCGGCTAAAAATTTGGAGCAAAATAAAAAGATCTAACCTGTCTCCGTCTCACCGGTGCCCACCCTATATTTTTTGGGTTAAAGGAAACACGATTGTTGTGCATGGCCATACTCAGGCTGCATCCAAATCTGTTGTCTAGAGCTAGGTCTACATGTAGGTTTTTGTTCCATTGGAAATGCATGGAGACGCATAGACAAATAGACCTAGCCGTAGTTCTGGAAGCCCGTCTCGGACACGGCCTCAGGTACATTCCTGGGGTAAAAAAATGGGGCAACTGTACCAGTACCAGCCTTCCGTTTGGCTGTCCAAACATGTCTTCCACAACCAGTGCATTTCTGTACAGTGTACATGTACCGCACAATAACAGGCTACGGATTTGTTTGGCAGAAATGACCGACGATGAGTGTGGATGTGCCTTACATCACACATACATTAGATTCATACACCACGATTCCACACAGATTCAGTCATCACACAGTGTACCACTGTTACATGCACAGGACGTGATGCACTCCGGTGGGCCGTCTCCAAATTTGGTGGTGCCACATGCGGCGTTGCACAGTACTGCTCATCCCACGTGAACAGTATGAAAGTAGCGGTATGCACAGATTACCGTGCTCAATGGGAGCAGGACTTGTCATGGAATATTGTACACACTTTGGGGGTTAGTTTTCTGCTCACAGTTGTATTACAATACTTGTAACTTCAAAGGTTGTTGTACTCATTACGGAAATATTTCATCACAGCATTTCCTCTTTATGCACACATGTTTAAGCTGTACATTTACATGTACACTAGTACAGTACCTGTACATCCACATGTACATTAATTAAATTTCTCGTTAGAATTTGTCGTCTGGAGCTGCTCAAAACAGTCTACTGAATGGGCCTTTCCAAAGTCATCATATGTCTCTATGAACAATAAGTCATTTGCGAGTTAAATTTGAATAAATCTGGTACACTGACTTATCTGATTGCAGGTAAACATAACAATTTGAATTCCCCAGACTAAAGACACTGGTGTTTTACATCATGATTCAGGGCAAGCTCTTGCACAGTGACCACCATCTCTGGAATGGACTGGTTCCTTTGTGCCCTTCATCTCTTATGTAACTAAGCAAAAGCTTGCCCCAAATCACGAGGTATAGCAGCCATGTCTTTAGTATGGGGAGTTCAAAGTGTTATGTTCACTTGAATTTAAACAACTCAGTGTACATGTACATGTACCAGATTTTATTTTAAGTAACACCCATACTT